CACCTGTCGCCACTCTGTGGACGTCCAGTTGCGGTACTGGCATGCAAATTCCAGCCTTCGTCGCCGATGAACAGCAGTCAGCATAGATGCATTAACCAGGCTTCTGCTACGGAGGCCCATGCGCAGCAACATTCGCTGAACCGTTGTTGAGGATACACACTTGGTAGCCTTTTGGTTCATCTGGGCGGTCAGTTGCTCAACAGTTGCACGTCAATTCACCCGAACGCGTCTCCGTAGCTTTCCTTCGCCTCTGCCATCTATAGCCCGTGGTGCACCGCATGTGGCACGCCGCTGATTTTGGATAGTGCCATTTTACCATGCACAGTATACTTTCAACACGGTGGCACGAAAACAGTTCACAAAATTAGCCGTTTCCGAAATGATTCCACACTTGGCCCGAAAGCCAATAATCATGCCCTTTTGGACGTCGGATAAATCGCTACGTTTTTGCATTACGCCAACGCTTGAAATGCTTTCAGATGCCCTAGGACATCCTTTATATACACTCTACTGTAATATGCTGCCACCTGCCTTTTGTGATTGGTTATTTCACGTTGATGTCAAAAGTAAGTGGTGGTCACATTAATGTGACTGGACTGTGTATAATTTTATCACTTAGCACACCACGCTCACTGAAAAGAAGTGTTCTCATTGTCGTAAAGTAATGCGAAGTGCACTTCTAACAGATTGAAATAGAAAATTGATTTGTAATAATAAATTAAAATTAAGTAAATTTTAAGCAATTGCTTAATGTAATTAGTTTATATCACATGTTGCACTGTTAGTCACCGGTGACTGATACGATGTAAAAGAAAAGTTCAGTGTCAGTCACTGACGTTGCAATCAACAATATTAATTTACTTAGTTAAATATAGTATAATTAATATCATATTGCAGTAGTAATATATGATATGATTAATATCACAATATTGCAATATTAATACGTAATCAACTTAATATCATAATATTTCATTAAATAAAGTATGTAAGACTACTCACCACATTGATGAGCTGGATGAAAGATAAACCAAATTGTACTTCTACAGTTTTATTCATCACTTCTACAGGCCGAATTAATTTGTTGTAATCTCTAAAAAGATCACGAACTAATCGTTCTTCATCTTCTGATGCCATAACTAAAAAAGAAAAGAAAAAATATCACTTTTAATTATATGAAATCTATAGAGATGGAACAATTTAACTATAGTAACCATTTCATGAAAATGTAGAAATATTTTATAAATTCAAAATTTTATTCGCGCATGCATCTCATTTATGCACTTTTATAGAATATACCTTGTATCTGCAGACTTACATGTATCATAATCAATAAATGATTATAATGAAGTCTCAGATGCACAGACGCTCATTATTTCAAATCCAGAAAAGTGTGAAAAAGACATAAAGAGACGTAATTATAAATTGGTGTAGCAAATATTAGAAATTTATAGCATGCGAATAATGAAACTTGTAGCATTTGCATTTTAAAACATTCCATTACAAGCTTAAACAATATCTCAAATCCATAAATTCCTTCTATTCGAAGAAATGTTTCATATCTCACATGAATGATAGCGAATTTTATAATCATATGCAGGGATATTTATCATTATAAATTACTTTAAAAGAACAGTTATCATTAATAAATTACTTTAAAATAGACGTCAGTTAAATTTCTCTGGTTTAAACAAGACATTCTTCATCCGAGTTCATCATTTAAAGATTGTTACGAACAGAGCGTAAAAAGTGGACCACCCTAACTGACATTTAATTTAATGATCTGAAAAAAAAAGAAAAAATTACTTTTAATCTAATAATCTGACTAAATAAAGCTTCCTATTTCACAATGGGCTAAGCCTTGTATGTGTACAGCCTTTTCTATAGTAGTTCGAGTCTCTTTCTATAAACTCAGGGAATAGAGCGTTCGTCCTCCAATGAGGTGAACTGGGTTCGAATCCCAGCGATAGCTGGGAGATACGAATTCTGCGCCCGGTTCGAACCGACCACAGTGCTGGCGTAAAATATCATCAGTGGTAGATGGATCATGGGTTAGAGTCTCCTTGCCATCAGGCTAACCGTGGGAGAGATTTTTATCTCCATGTAACTCTAATGTGTGTTAGTTCCATCAAAAAAGTCTGCACAAAGGCAAATTTCTTCCAATACTTGATCCAGGAGTTTCCTGGTCTTCTAGATTGGGTTCAAAATTACAAGGCTGTGGTGTAGAACATTAGTAGTCGTAAACGTAAGATTAGGTCTGCTGTTCAAACGGTAGTTATGAAATAAAATATTATCCTGGAGGTCTTGGGTTTAAACATCTGTCTCGAACTAACGAACATATCTCGCATTCATTTCTCCCTCCACATCATTTTCGAACGATAAAAATGAGTATATGTTGTTTCAATTTTGAGCATGTGTATACTCAATAATGAATACATGGAGTTTTCAAATTCGACTATATTTTTTTCGGGGCTATTTTTTACACATTTTTATGCAATTTTGAGAACCCGTTTTTTACAGTGTATGGGAGAGTGGGGTCAATTGTAACAGGGTACGATTGTAACAGAGCAAAAATTTCGACCGTCGGGTTCTAGATTTGGTTCCTAGGTGGCGCACAAGGTGTATTTAATAAATCTACATGTACACCCCTGCTGGCAACCATTTTTATGTTCTTTTGAAAGAGTTACATCACAAAAGATTTTTTCAAGCTACGCAAATACTTTTTTTGGTATTAGAATATTATATTGTAACAAAGTAATTTTGCTTAAACAAATAAAAATTATTAACCGAATATGTAAGTGGACACCTTAATTAACATTTCAATAAAAAAAAATTTGTTTTGTTAATTAACTAGCAATGTTTTTAACAAATGAAGCTGAAATGGCGTCTTGGGGACGATTGTAACAATAAGTAAAGGGACGATTGTAACAGCTGAAAATAAATAATCTTATGTTTACAAACCATTACTTAACTCTTTAAGAACCACCAATAGTTTCCTATATCATTTATATTATGTTGCATGTGCATTATTTTATTTGTCACCTTTCACAGCATAAATTAAAATTTTTAACCCCTTAAAGTTAAAAGTTTAACCCTTTAGGTCTCTGCTCATTATTATTTTTACTCCTAAAATATCACTACTATTTTGATCAATAAAAAAATATATCACAACTATGATAATATGTATAATTAACTATGTTTTAGTTGAATTTATGAACTGTTACAATTGACCCCGTAAGAGGGGACAATTGTAACAAGTGCACGACTGTCAAAAATTGTTAATAACTAATATAATAACATTTAAAATAAGGTATTTATTTTTTTTTTCTAGTAGAGGATAGTCTACTTTACTCGTTTGTCAATTAATACTAATAATATATTGATTTTTTTGTTAGTTAAAAATAGTTAAGTAAAAAATGTACTATTGACCCCACTCTCCCCTACTCATAGAAGTTCACAAGTGATCATTCTATCTATGAATATTTTGTTTATTTCAATATTTTTTCAACATATCTCAAAATCCGTGGCAATAACGCCCAAAAACTAAAAGATTGAACCATGGAATAGTTTTCAAATACGACATAGTTTCAGATCTGAGATATATCACGACACCCAAGATGCCATTTATGTTCAAATTAAGATTCGTTTTAATTTTATCGTAAAGCAAATCAAACTTGATACAGTTGAAAAATTATGTCTTAAGAAAAAATAGTGTCCCCCTTTTTTTTGGAACTACGACTTAATGGGTAATAAAAGGTCACAAATATTGGTATGTCAATTATTAATTATTGGGTAACAACGATTAACTCATTAATGGTAAAATAAGTTTAAATTTCAAAACCAAATGTAAACATTTCAAATTTATTTAAAAAATTTATATATTTTTAAAAATCAATGTAGTATGTCAGTATCTAAAAAATATGTTTCAACAATTGTTTTCAAATATTTTCTATATAATTTCTAAATTATTTAGAAACTAAAGTATTTTCTAATTAATAAGAACTTAAGCCAAACATATAAATTTTTATTCTAGGTATAGCGAAAAACTGGTATCGATTTTAGCTAAAAAATAAGAGACACTGCAATATCAATTAACGCTTGCTGCATGCATCATTAAAAAGCTTAGTGAAGTAATTTATGTCCAATTTATGCCTGAAAAAATATCTGAGTTTATTTGACCATCCTTAAAAAGAAATCTTACGACCTAATAAGTAATTATAGTTATTATAAGGTTTGAATACTGATTTTTATATAATATTGTAATTTTAGACGTAAAATTTTATTATTTTTTACGCATAACAATTCGGAGTATTTTTTTATTATATTATGTGATAAAAATTATTTAAATGTGCAATATTTTATTGACTATAATAATTAGGCTGAATTGAATTCATATTCCGGCAATCATTATATTAATTTTTTAAAAAAAGTTTTAAGCTCTAATATAAAAAGTCATTCAATGAAAAACACAGTTTAATAATTCGATAGAAAAACAATAATTTGTCATCAGGCATAAATAACCGAACAATATAAAACCCTTACGTCGATAAACGCAAATGATTAAACCGGGCTTCCAGTTTAACAAAAGCGAGTCTATATCCAACGTAAATAAGTATCTTTTCCATTAAAAGGATATAAAAAAAGGCGCACAGGTTTAATGAACACTGTTTTTCCAAATTAACGCAGCACCCAAACACGACTTCCATCACCCTAAACGGTCGCCATTTATCCATTACATAATTTTCTCCTCTTCTTCTAAAAACTTTACTGCAGCCATGCCAGTAAATTTTATGCGAGTCGTCCCTGTCATCTTGCTTGTTAATTCCCCATTAAAAATAATTACCCAGAGTTGCCATCAACGACACTGAGAAGCAATAAAAGCACCAACTTGCGAATGTTGCTACCACCCTTTTATCCGGGTGTAATGCGAGGAGGGAAAGGGTAAAGGCGACTTTTATGTGGGGTCCCTTGATAGCGACCAATGTGCGACTGGGATATGCCTACTAAGCTTTTGAGAAAGTAGGGTTTCTTCATGTAGGCATAGTGAATTAAGTGTTTAATGGCTATTTTGGCTGCAGTCTTTGAGGACGGTGAAAGTCTAATAAGACTTTGGTAATTCTCAATTCGTACACATAAATGAAAAACAAAGCTTTCTGTGGACTAATTAATCCATAGAAAGATTTGCTTTTGAGAAATAATGCACGACTACAAAATGTTTCAAAACTCATGCAAAAAAAAAAAAAATTTTAACAGAAAACGCAAGTTTTAAATTAAAAATTGAGATTTACTCTTATTCATTTTTAAGGTATACAAAATAAGATTATAAATGGAAAATCACATTGATTTAATGGTCTTAATGGTTTTGTTGGTACATGCGCACTACGTTTTGTCTAAATTTCCATGTACTGTTTTGCTTTAAGTGGCTGAATTTCTTTTCTAAAGTGCTAATTTTCCTCTTTTAAAGTGTGAATGGTTTTGTGAAATTGTCAGAAAAATCTAAAAATACTAATAATAAATAAATAAAACCACTCTATGGCATTATATAGCATGATTTGGGACAGTGTAACATCTCAGATCTGGAAGAGATCTTATAATCAAAACGAAAAATTACACGACTCAACATTACTCAAAATAATGTTCAAAATGTAGAAAACAAATTGTTCTTTTATGTAGTGCTCTATTATTAATTAATATGAACTGTCAGTCATCCCGGAGTCTTTTTTTTTCTTTTTGTTGGCCACATTTTATCGCAAAAACGGAGCAAAATGCAACCTTGAGTAAATTTTGCGATACTCTCTATTTGTAAATAGTGGTTCATGGAATAACTCGGGGTATAAGGTTACTTCAAAAACTATGTATCATCATACTTCAGCGCTATTTTTTGTTAAATTAAGAATGTGATTGTGGTATGGGGGAGAAAAAGATAACTGAAAATTTAATTCGAAAATGAATAAGGGTCGAATTTCGGACACTGTCATATTTTTTTATCCAACAAACCCACTGGCATGTATAGTAAGTATTAAATATTTTTATAAATAATGAAGACAATTCAGAATTGATAAACTTTCACCAAATTATCAATTGATTAAAAATGTGAAGGGTCTTTTGATACCTAATTGTTGCGAAATAAATTTCAGTT